GGGTAGTCACCCAAGCGGACAACTTTTACAATCGCCCTCTTGCAAAGTTGTATGTGTATATATATTATTACTACTTTACAAGTCTTAATAACATCCTGTTATAAAAATTATGTACACAGTAAGAAAACATTTATTTTTGGAAATGTCTCTTTAAGTAAGTCAAGTATAATTATTTGTAAAGTTCTTGGAAGGCGACCGAACTGTCTACCTACGTTTACCTCGTTTTGATGAGCGAGTCTCTTAGTATCAAAATACGTGATTCGAATGATCGAAAGTTTGGCGTGGATTTCACTTGTTAGTAGTTAAAAAAATGAAATTTCACTTACTAGGTATTTTTAAAAAGATACATCGCATTATATACTTTTATATTTCATTTACTACTTTCGGCTGTTTTGATGTGCGAGCTTTATTTTTGAAAACATAGCCATAGCTGACCCGGTAAACGATGTTTGGCATTTTACAAATCATTTCTTGTGCTATCAGGATAAAAGATTTTCTATCTCTCAAAATACAATGAATAATATACATTTCAAAGCGCTTTCAAAGATTAGCATGAACAATATTAGAGTTTTATATATAAACTCTCTACAATCAGGATTAGACATGATACAGATGTAAATTTAGATGCAGAAATGCATTCAAAAACGGTATTCACCTTCTTTAGCTTTTATTATTTTATTTTATTCCTTGCTTTAATTTAAAAAAAAATTACCCAGTACGTCCTTCCTTACACGTACACATAGTCACGTTCCATTACTTAAAATATAACAATATTTATGATTATAACCTTATTATAAACCTAGATATTATTACTGAATTGACAAATAGCTTGGAATTAAATAAGTAGAGGAAGGTAATATCAGAAGTGCATCGGAAATTATGCCACACAGATTCATTTTTGTACATATATTTCTGTTTAAAGTAATTGTTTCCAACCTACCTCTCGAGTTATTGATACTTTTGCCATTTTTAAAACTATATTGATGATTTCGCTTAAAATCGAATGATATAGTAATGTTTTATGTATTCATTTCAAGTATTGCTTTATTTTTCCTCTATTCATGATGATTGGAAGAGAGCAGCGTCCTGTGTTAAGTGTATTTTTTTTTAAATTAGTATATAATCTGGTTAACATTGTTCCTATAGGTAATCGAATATACAAGTATCTACTAATTATTATTGAAACACTATATTACTGGTAGTAAGGTACTCGTACTTAGTAGATTTCTAATAAGCAAGGCTATGATTTCTGCATGCGATCATTAGTTTTTTTTTTTTTTTTTTTTATTTTAATAGCTCTTGATGTTTATAGGCACGTAGGTAATTAATTACTTTTAGTAGAATGAGTAGATAATTAATAAATAAAATAGTATATATTCGTTTGGTTATTAATCTAATGATAATAACTAGACCAAGTAATTTTCTTAATAACAAGGAACTCTAACTTGAGAACTAGACAGTATGGCAAAAATTAAAGATAGTCCCTGTTTTTGATGATATAATTGTGTGACACTAGGTATCAATCAAGCCCCTCATTGAAGTTTCAAAAGAAAGCTATAATTTTATGATCCTAAATCAACTTAAATTATCACAAATAATTATCTACTATAAAAAAAGTCAAGACAAATGATATTGTGAGATGACTCATTATGATACAGATGTTACAGGCATTTAGTCACCCAGTAATAAGTTATTTAATTTGACCACTGTACCATATTTAGAGCTATTTGATATAAATCTCCAATTACCCTAATCTTCCTCAAGATCCTTAGATAATGCTCGTTTCTAGTGTTATCTAAAATAGATTGATAATAACAAATACGATTATTTTTGAATACCGAACCGAGTTAGTATTCGTGAAGCATAAAACTATTTTCTTACTACAATAAGACTCACTTAACATTTGTATGATGTACGTTTTGCTCTGAATATATTTGATAAGTCCTTTCTGTGTTTCTTCTTATGGTTACCTGGCGCCCAACGTGGAAAGTCTAACGGTTATATTGAAGGAAAGAATATATACTGAGATAAGAGCTGATAAAAAAAATAATTAACTCGATCTCAATATAGGCATATGAAAAGCATACCATATTTTTACTATTTAGATACCTGCTGAAACTATTAAAAAATACTTTTTTAATGTTACTATAGACTCTTCCGCGATCACCAACGCGTCGGGCTCTTTGTATTAAATGACCACACTATTGTACGACATAAACTAGAACAAGAACAAAAGTAAATAAATTGAGATAACCTTAATGGCCAAGGAGAACTTTTTAAATAATTCACCACGGTTGCTTTTTTTTTAAATAAACAAAAAAAAAAATCAAAATAAAAATGAAATTTTAATACGGCACTGTTTGTCCTAAGATCAATAAATGAAAATAATTTCTGGATGCAAATTTAGCCGAAATAGCACAAATTGTAACGAAAAGTATTTGTATGCAGTTGCGGCATCTACTTATTTATAAACTAGTTGTCATCTAGGTAAGATGCTCCAAATTTCAAATGTTATGCAACAAAGCCGGGTTAACTTCAACTTATTCTGCTCATCAGTATTCCGTTTCGGAGACTTCAAACAAAAACTTTAGTATACCAACTGACTTACTGTTTTACTAAAATTTCTGGATTATAATAAATTTAATAATTCGTTACGTTTTCTAAGTTTCTTCCGTTAGCTAAAAGCTAGTTGTCTGAGATTTCTTTAAATAAAAAAAATCACAAATACATTATAGGTAGATAGAAATTACATTTCTGTACGAAAAATCTGAGACCAGTTTAATCGGATGATACCTATTGCTTGTCGTGAGAAGCAAGCATAATAAAATTTCTCTCGTTTCTTTACCCATGTACCAACTATAACGTAAGGTACGTTGTCTATACCATGTTATTACATGGAACAAAAGCTTAATTATATAGAAGACGTATGAACCTAGTGACTTCATAACTTCCGTTTCGGTTTTGTTCGTCAACTATTGTACAAGTAGATCCGTCAGTAGAGGTTCTTCTGCTACAAATTTCTTGAAAACTATTCTAAACTGATATGAATTTAAATGAAGTTACCATTAAATGTATGTTAAGCACCTATTTATAACACATCTAATGTTTTAATGATTATATGTAGATTGGAAATATTACGCACGTAATATGTTATTGTGCCTAATCTATCGTGAACCATAAAAGCAATCATTAATTATAATTTGTATTGATATTTAAAAGCAAGGAGAATTATTATACTACTACTTATAAAATTTAGATTAAAAAATAATAATACTTATTAGGTATCTACCAAAAAATCAACCAACTTTGTTATAGGTATTAATTAATTAATAAAAAATGTAATTGCTACGAGTTATATTGTTATAAACGCAACCATCCACTTGCGTATGTTCTATTTTGATGATTTTACCAACTCGCGAATTATGCCTACTGTATTTGCCATTCCTGGAAAGTTAATTCGCGTTTAATATTAATGAGAAATTATAATTTACTAATGTTTTTGTGTTTGTATCACTTAGTTACAATACTTTATCAGTAATTCATAAGTACTCGTATAATTCAAGCAATTCACCTATCCACACAAGTATCTAAAAGTGGGTTGTGGGATATTTTTCTTCGCTCGTTGAATCGGTCACATTATATAATAACTACACTTGACTATTCCACTTCAAACGGGAAAATAATTTAAATATTTGCACAATCCCCGACCTCAGAATGGCGAACTACAGTTCCCGCAAAACTTGTTTTAGCTTGGGAATTAACGGCGTACCTACCATGTTTGTCTTTGTGGAGCTTGCTTGTGGCGTCGGTTCGCACATAATAATGTACATTGACTGATTATAACCTAAAGATAAATACAAAGTATAACTGATGCAGTAATGAACATTTAATATGTAATGGCTAGTTAGTGCTGTATGTTACGCAATAGTTGCATGGCGAGACACGGAAGGCGGTACATTCGGCCAATAGTACAAACTGCAATGTAACCTCATATCTCTCATGCAAGCAGAATTAAGTTTGTTCAAAAAATTTTTAAGTAATATTAGACTAATTGAATCATTCGGATTTGCCGGTATGAATAACAAGTTTTTATTTATTATTATATGAGCCATTAATTGCCCACTGCTGGGCATAGGCCTCGCTCATGGGGGTTTTGCCAATAGTTGCCACGCTTGACAGATGGGGTGAAAACCGAAGTTAGGCTTTGGTGATGTTTTAAGAGGGACGCTGCTGCTCATCCCTCAACCATTAAATAACAATAGTTTGTTTGGTTTGTTAGTAATGTGGACGACCGATTCCAATGCTAGCAATATACCTTGTCAAGACCTTTACGTGGTCTGGAAACCATCGTGCTGAATTCCAGATGTGTTCATTACGATAGGCTAATTAATTTACTGGGTACAGAGGAATAACAACCGAGTCCTCAGGAATGGCAACGCATATGGGGTATCATGGGCGAAACAGTATACTCTGTTATGTCCATGGTACTGCTCATGTCTATAGGCGACGGTTACCACTTTCCATCAGATGGGCCGTCAGCTTGTTTACCATTCTAAATTGTATAAAAAAAAACCTGTCTTTTCAATCTCACCTATCATCCATCACTGGTGCTCCGCATTCGTATACAATTAGCGCAAGCGGGGTTACCACTGTTATCACTACATTATCATCCGTTAAAAAAAAATTGGGCATAACGACGTTTGCTGGATCTGCTAATAGTCTTGAAAAGATAAACCATTTGTAGTTTTTAAAGTTATGGCTTTTTAACACGTATTTCTGCAGTAATCGGCGAGTGATCAAAAGCAGCGTTTCTAGTTACATTGATGCGCGTATGTGGGATAATAGGCGGCGTGTTTTCTTATCCATCAAATATAGAAACCAAATTAGTGGCTGGGGATCATTGCAGGCTTTAACAACTTTAGAAACATGATAGACTTTTTAAAATATTTATCCAAATAATTTGTTTGAAGGTTGCAGAAAGATATAAATTAAACAAGTAATTACGATGTCCTCATATATTTTATTTTTATATAAAATCAAATGCGCTCGTTCATTCCTTCCTTTCACTATATATAAATACATAACGTATCCGTATCTCTGCATTCAGCAAATATTCAGAAAATAGCATTGGCTAATCAAATATATCTAGCTAGCATTAAAACTAAGTAATTTCCATAAGCAATTATAATACATGTCTGCGTGGGATATGGGTTACAATGTTCATTAATTCTTTACGTAATATATGTCAATTGTATTTAATAATCGAAATAATTTTAAAGTTTACATATTTTACAATTCATAATTAAATTTATAATCTATTTTTGCTATAATTCCAAAATACACTATGGCAGAATCACAATAAGCATGAGTATAACAACTATAATAAGTACGAAAAAATCTTAATCAATAAACAGCTGGCACAATGAAGATCTAGATGAGTTACACAATATTATATAATATTATTACCATTAACATTAAACTATAATGGCATAATGCACACATGAAAATATGTATGTCACCTAGCCGAGAATATACACAATAAATAAGAACATGGAATGTTATTATGATTTCCTTTTCATATAATCGATCGGCGTACGCCAAATTAACAATTAATAGAAAGGACATGATAAAAAAATATTTCTAATTTTCCCGTAACGATAAATTATAGCAAAAATACTTGTTACTATATATTATAGGCCACGAGTAATATCCGAGTGAAACGTCGCTAATATGATTGCGTTAATACAGCACGGGCTCTCACTGAGAGTTCACAGCCGGCACCTTACCACGAAATTCACTCACTATAATGCACTGTTACACCAATCGGCTGCTGGTTGCACGACCACTTGCAGTTTGCCACCTGAAATATATATTACAGTTAGTCGCTATTTATGGTAAATAGGCGATTCACACCACGTGCCCAATGTACGGAACATGTTCACGGTATGAATTGGTTTATTGACTTCTGGTAAATGTAGAGCTGTAAAATATACCCTGCAATGAAACAGCGACTACAATGTTAGTAAAATTAATATAACACCAATATGGGGGTAAACATTATTGAAGTCGCTTGAGTACTTCAATTAAAAATCAGCCAACAATAAAATAAATAAGTACAGAACATATTTACAAAGTGTGTGGAGAAATTGACAGTCACTAAGAAAATTGAAAGAAAAAAAAAAAAACAAGGAGCCATTATCAAATACGATGGTTATGATGAGAAAGTAACAAAGCAGCTGAGTATGAAAATATCTGATACCTTTCAATGTACCAAAAACTGCAAAAGATGGAAAGAGCATGCTCAAAACTTGGGTCGGGTATATGAACTGTCAAAAGGAAAAAAATGGTAAAGCATACCTATTTGGTGTTGAAAATATCTTGCGGCGGCACGGCAGCGTGGTTGGCGGCTAGTGGTCGCGCGCGTCCGCGTACAGCGTGGTGGCGATGTACGTGGTGGGCACGAAGCCCTCCTCGCGCGTGTGGCGGCGCCGCACCCGCGTCCAGCCGTCGCCCGCGTCCGTCTCCAGCACTAGCAGCCGCTCGCCGCACTCCATACGCATCGTGGAGCCTGTGCCGTTAGCTGACACACACGAACGTTGCATACATTACAATCGTGGGAGTGTTACTTACCTTATGACAATAATATAAAAAAGAACAAGAAATATGGACGATCTTTTATGGGTTTTTTGACTGTCTTATGACCATTTATTTCCTTTGAAATGCATTCCAAAGGAATATTAGTCGCTTGGTATTAGTTAGACTATGGGGTTTTATTTTTAGTTTTCCTTCTCTTACTATTGTATTGTCTTTTGTTCCTTTAGCGACTCTAACGTTGACTTGGGGATAAAAATAGTGGGGACACATTTTACTCTTACTGCACCACTATACATTTATTTTGTATGGGCACCACCCAGCTCTGAAACGGGTAAGCGATTGACGGACCGCTCGCCTATGCTCTCCACGAATCTCAAATTCCACCAATTGATTAAAATGCCAACATTAATTTTAATTAGAAAAACTTAGCTTACCTTCAAATGCATACAGCGCCATGCAGTACCCGAGCGGTTGCAAATCGGGTTCGTAGTAGTAGTCAAAGTCCGACTCGTGGTCGTTGTCGTGGTCGTGGTCGTGGTCGCCATCGCCGTTGGTGTGGTCGGCGTGTGCAACAGCGAGCTCTCCGCCGAGCCCGGACTCCGGCGAGCCGCCGGCGGTACGTCCGCCCGCAGTGACGCCGCCGCTCCCCACGCCGCCGCCCGTGCCCCCCGCACCCGTGCCCGTGCTCACGGACGATTCGGATGCAGATCGCGATAGGGATTCGCTGTTTGATCCGATACTGTAAAATTATCAAATAGATGAGCGAAAGTGAAAGGTTCCTTGTCATGGAGAACGAACAAATAACGAATTTATGTAAGTGTACGGTAGATAACAACACTACAGGAACATATTATGATATATTCCTGAATTAAAAAAAAAATTAATGGACGTTTTTTAATTTACCGAGACACGAGCACGATATCATACCATTTTTAACCGACTTCAAAAAGAAGGTTCTCAAATCGGTTGTTTTTTTTTTGTTTCTTACCACCTGATAACTCCAGATCTAAACCTCTTATCTGATAGGATATATTTACAGACTGATCCCATATAAACTTTTATCAAAAACGGTTCAGTAAATTAGTTTTAAAATCAAAACAACTACTCTTGTCACAAGTGAAGTCAGTTTAGTGAGACACAATTTGTAATTATTTAGTTTATTGGAAGTAAAACTGTGTTCAAAATTAAATTAAAGACAAATAAAAACAAAATATAACGACACTACTATCGATATCGATATTTAAGACAAAAGTATTTTAGTAATATAGTATTATGAATATTCATTTATGTGTTGCTACGTCTGGGTGATTCTATACTCGTAGATCTATTTTTCAATTTGGTCAACATAAAGTGATGACTCATGAATAACATAGTGATTACTAACTGTATGGCTCAAAAGTTCCACTAGATGTGCAATATACCTGGTGGCGGGTGCGGGCGGTGCGCCGTTGGCCCGGGCGGGTAGCGTATGTAATGTTGTAGCGCTCACTTGGCTGTTCGCATCCGCTAGCAACTCTTCAAACTTGCGCAATTGCGTACGTAGCTTCTTTAGTTTATCGCAGCATTCATTTAATTGACCTGTACACATTTTGTTATCAATATTTTTTTCTGATCTTTGCAACACACGAGTTAAACAGCGTTGCTTTACATAAATAAAATCTTGGAATCGATCCTTAACCAAGCCAATAAAACCTATTGTAATTTAACAAATATATGACTCTTCTAAGTTGTGCCGAAAACGGTCAATTTCTTCATTAAGTATTATACAATCAATTTGCAACAGAAAAAAAACAGATAATTGATACGTAAAAGTTATTAACGCGCGAATAGCAAAAAAGATTGGTGCTGCCTCTATAGAGCGATAAAGGAATTAAATTTCCTATATTTATTGACCATGATACTCTATTATTGCCATTAATAGATAGAGCTAATGATATCTTTCAAAGACAAGTTTATTTAGAGCATCTTATGATTAGAAAGCATTAACGTAATATACTTATTGTTGTCAATTAGCATACATACATACATACATATCTGTCACGCCTGTCTCCCATTAGGGTAGGCAGAAACAATGGAACGCCAAATGCTTCGATTCAAACAAACCTCTTTCGCTTCTTCCACATTCATCAATCTTGTCAATTAGCAATTAATCATAAAATGATTGTCTACTAATTTCTAAGTAATCAACTTGCCTGTTTCTAATGACGCAAGATATTCTAGCTTGACAAGCAGAAAATCATTGTAAATGTAATGTAGACACATTATGAAATGTTCAGAAATATAAAGTCTTTAAATTTCATAGAGTTGCCCGGTGCCATAAACTGGTTTTCACGAATTAAGTTCAGAAAGAAACGAAAATTATACAAAAGAATGTATGTAAAGTAAACATACACAACTCAAATACAATAATATGTATAACCTACCTTCTACCGTCATGGGATCCCCTAATGTTGGATTTGTTTCATATACTCCTTTCATTTTCATTAATCCTTCCATGGCAGCTTGTTCTTGTGCCACCTACAAAAATAATAAACATACAAATATCTTGGGATCTAATCACAAATTTTTTAAAACTTGACAGGTTTTGGTCATATGACCACAAATTGATTTATTTTGTCCACTGTTTCAGTATCAACTTGCAGGATAGCTAAATTTAATCAAAGTATTTGGTTTCAAGCGCTCATATTGAGCTCCCTGGTTACAGTGACGAAGTAATAACTAATAGAGGAATAATTTGAAAGTTTGATAAAATTATTTATTTATTTATTCTTTATTGCACAATAAAACTTTGTACAAGTGGCGAGCTCAATGTCATATGGCATTCTCTACCAGCTAACCATTAGGTAAAAAATTATCATGATGTAAATATTCTAGCAATGTTAAAGTTTCGAGTTTCGTCTGTTCTTATATATTTTCATTGTTGTTCTGTTTAATTGTGTTATTTGTTCTACAATTTTACTAGTATTTTATATACACATAGAAATGAATTGATTTTTTTATATGCAAGAGTCATGGATTATTATATTTAGTGTATAAAAGAACTGGGAATCTGTAAAAAATACTATCAAGTTAGCATTCACCAGATAATCTTGTTGTAGGTAATAAGGGAAATTTGTAATACATATGCATTTAATCTAAATAATATGCCCAAGGCATTATGTGTTTTCAAGGATGCTCTAAAAATATAATAGAAAAACCTTAAGGAAATATTCAGTAGTTAAGGATTCTACCGTATAACAATAACCTTCTCCTTTCTATATAAACATTTATATGACGTCATTATTACCTGTTTCGTTAACTCATGTACTTTAGCCTGTAGTTTCTTTTTCTTTTGATTTGGTGGTAAATCTGAATAGTCCTCCTTTCCATCCGTAGACATGTTGTTCTGTAAGATTAAACAGACTTTATACAACCATATTCATAGATCATTGCTTTAAAAAAAACACAGACACATACACACACCAATTTTACTATAGCTACTAAAACTATTTTCAAACACCATAAATTTATTTATAATATGTTTTTCCATCCACAAAAATTAAGTGATTTTCGTTGTTATTTATATCACGTAGGGCATAAATTTGAAATGAGGCATATAATCTTAGACTGAATATACAATAAATGAACGCCCTTATGAAAACGACATAATATCTGTAATATTTTGTATACATATCCAAATGTATTTATGAACATATTTAAGGCTCAAAATTTTCTTCGTACGAAAACTTTTCAAAAGCCTTCAATAAGAATTAGATATTTGCATCTCATTTTATCATTTACGTTGTCATAACATTCGAAGACGGCTATTGTATAAAAGTACCTAATAATAAACATATACAATATATAGATACATATATTATGGTATTATAAAATGTTTAGTCACATTAAAATGACCAAATTAATCAACACAAAAACAAATATCGAATACGTATTAGAGAGGAAAGTGCGTAGAAAACCAAGCCGTGTAAGCAGTTTTAGATGCATAACAAGCAGTAAGAAGCTAAACACTCGGTTATGATGACATTCACTGGTCGACAAATGTGTTTAATTAATATTATAATTACTTAAATATTGTAATTCAATACAATGTTTCATTATAAAAATACCAAACTATTACAAATTGATGTAACCAATGAATGTCACCATTTGCCCAAGCGATTTGTCACGCAGAACTGACCTTGATCGAGTTGCACGCCTCGACAATCTTCTGTGGCCAAAGCGTTAGATGTGGTGGAGACGCGGCGGAGGCAAACAAACAACATTAAACAAAGAGGTATATGGGACGTACACCGCTTCGCGGGCGAGTCCGAAGCGACAGAACACGCAACATGGCAACACTACTGGCGACTAATGAACTTGCCAATACTATTGTCACTTTGGCTAAATTTAACAACTTTTTAAATTCGTCAGCTATTATCATTTTTAAAAGTTATGTGCATTTTTTGGCGAATGAACCATTTAAGAAAAAAAATGTTTTTTGTTTCCACATAAGATATACCCATACATTAAAAATAGAATATACTAGAAGTATACAAATCGTTTGGACATAGTTAAGCTAATAAGTCAGTAGCCAAAATGTCAACAGTGTTTGTCAATTTGGTTTACGACGTTTACGTACGTATTAACTCCTACGTCAGTTAGGGTTATAGAAGAGATAGATAAATCACTTATCATTAATATATATTTTTTGTATAAGTTATATATTTATTCTGAAAAATAAGTTTTAATTCTATTATCATTTTATGACTGTAATAGAAATCTTCAAAACTCCTGAAGATCTAATATCTCTAGTAACGCCCTTTTTCATAAAAACTAAAGCCTACTACAAACTTATTTTAGCTATTGAACTAACTGTTTTGTTACTCTCTTTCAAATTAGGTATGTAGCATATAAGAAAGAGACAAAACAGTTCAATAGCTAAAATAGGTTTTTCTCAAACATGCTTGGAAATGTGAGCATTATTTTGACAATCTTCTTCGAGATAAATCAAAATTGCCGTACTGGCCAAGATACATGCGGGCAGCGGCCGGCAGAAGTTGTATGAAAATCCATATCTGTCGTGTTTTGCGGCCAAATAAATTACTATGTAAACTCATATCTGTCCTATAATTTAAAAATGGAATGACTTTTTACTTCGAAACATAGCTACCGAGGAGGTAACTAATACAAGGTTTTATTTAAAATTCGAACTGGCTTGCAAATAGAAAGCTGTTTATTGAAAAAAAAAAAAACAAGGGAACATTATGGCGCGTGAAAAATTATTATTATTCGTTATTCGTCATTGAATTTAAAAACTAAAATTGTGTTTTTGATTTCCGCGCATTGTTTGAGAAAAGTACTATACAAGCCTTGGCCACAACTAGGCATTGATGGACTCACGTATGTGTGCCTCGGTTACACCTCGGCCCACATTTGCACATTCGTCCATCATTGCCTCAGTTGCTGGCCGCTGCAGTAATGTACTATATGAGACGTTTATTGCTTTTATTAATAAGAGCGTAAGTCTTTAATACGACTTTAATGTAGACCAAATTGACAGAGTAACAAACATGTCGACAATAGACATTTAACAGAGTAAAAAATATTGCATTGAAACTCGAGTAAACTGAAATCAGTATGGTGTTATAAACAACAGTGTACTAGTATAAAGTATATTATGAATAAGTAATGAAATAGAACAAGAGAATGAATGACTCATGCTGATGACTTGATCCCCATCACTCAACTTACTTTTCCACGTGACAATGCACCAGTCGGCCGGCAGCCAATAATAACAATGGTCGTTATGTGAACCCATGTTAGGTGGGGATCGAAAAGGATAACAGATAAAAACAAATTAGTACCTCCAACTTACAACATAAATAAATAATAAATATATGCATATATAGTCTACTTCAATAGAATTTGATAGAAGTGTATACAAGTTAGATATTGCACAATGTAATGTTATCTTGTGGCGAGCTGATAGTAAAATTACAATTATGTTCTCTAGATGTCGCTACAAAGAAATTTAAACGCGGTATAATTTGCTACTGGTGTGCATTAATATATCTCGGTAATACAATACTAGGTAATCGTGTTTTTCCCCTCCGACCAAGAGGTAGACTTTGAGAATTACTCAAAGTCGTCTGCATGGGTACCTCTGTCTCACTGCCGTTAAGCAGCTTTTTATGCTGTTCGGTTTAAATAGTGAGATAGGCAGTTAAAATTGCTTTAAAAAATGAAATTGCATAATAGTGCAATACCTATTTATGACATTCATAGATATTATGTATTGAGTCGGACTTTTTTGTATGTTCCTATGCATTGATAAAAATTGACAATAAACATGTCACTGGCATTCGAATATAACGTATTCGAAATTTATATACTGCGTACTTTAAGTATTTGAGTCGGCTTGACTCGGAGTATCACTAATATACAAAAATTGTTTTTACGAATTTGGAACAGAACGAAACTACTTGGCTTAATTTATATCAACTGGACTTTTTATGAATAAAACATTTAATAATAAATGCATTTCATCATATGCACAAAACGAAAGCCTGAAATTTCAGAAATAGGTTTATTTAGCCCTAGAATCTAAAAGTTATAAAACGACGATTTATTCTTGATAGGATCAAAATCCCTCTTGGTTTTGTTTAACTTTCTACTAAATTCTATTGAAATACATTTTAACTGGTATTGAGTCATTGGCATTGAAAATATAACTTAATAATTTGTTGGCTATACACCTTACCTTGTAGTGACTGTATACCAGCTAAATAAACTTAAAACGACATAATAGAAAAACAATACAGTACCAATATTACCATAAGCATTGTAATAATAATTTCTATAGCATAACGCATGCGTAAAATATTTTGATAGAATACCTATTACTAATATAAAAAATTAAGCTCTATAAAGCTCAACAGTCAATCTCAGCAAACAGCCTCTTAATCAATATGAATGATAAATTGTTGTTTCCAATATAGAAAAAAAAATGCATAAGTTATAAACTGATATTCAGATTCTCTTCAATTAAACTTTTTACCGCTAAAACCATTCTTATACTTTACCAATAAACCCGGAGTTCTAAAAATAACTACTTTCATGATGAACACAGATCCCAAAACAATTTAGATTTGCATCCATCCAATTGACAAGAGTACAAGATACAATAAAATTGACAGTCCATTAAAAATTTTTTTTTAACAAATTTTGTATTAGTAAATGACTTTAGAAATTCTTTTAGAATCTGTTTTAGGATCCTATTTATGAAGACGCAGATTCAATTTAGACCAAATGACCTCAAATTCTGCTGTTTACAATTGAATATGTTAACTATTGTCATCAACATAATATGTATAATCAACACTTATCATCAGAATAAACTTATCTTTATTTTAATAAACTTGATTCATGTTTGTGTTGTACCTTTTTGATAGAACTTCATTATATGATCATGAATTATATGATATTATTTAAAATTCTTGTACTTTATATTAAAACATTTGTATTATTTATACACATTCATATACAAGATTCGATAGAGAAATAATACCCTATGGACTACTCTTTGCTATTATTCAACTGAAGCATTTGTAAATAGCAGAACTAGGACACTGTAAAGTTATTTATCAATTGTAACTTCATGTGTTTCACTTTTGCAGCATATATCTATTTTACCTTATTGGAGCTAAATATTGAGAGGAGGCCGCCACGTTTCTTTATCCTATTCCCGGAGACGGTGCCGCGAGCTGCGGTCAGGTGGTTATGATGGTGATGGTGGTTGGTAGACGAGTCCGTGGTGTCGCCACCCGCTGCTGGTTCGAATTGGAAATCCTCTGGTGGCACGAAGCCTGATTTGTACCTATCTATTACTAATTGTGTGTCCTGAAAACAAAATGTTTTATTGTATTTAATATATGTTTTTTTTGTATTTAAATATTATTACTACTTTTGTATGTCTTATTTATGTCTAATTTCGACAAAGATGTACCAATGTTTTTTATATTATGTAAAAAATAAAAAAGACATGCCACTACAGAATAAATCGATGTGATTTGACAATATTACGAAAAAAAAAAACGATTACGATCAATATCAAAGTCAAAATTATGCAAAATTCCAAAGATAAAATAATAAGTATTATTATAGCTACTCGTTATAACAATACATATTCAATAACCATGTGGCCCAGGCACATAATGGACTAACCCTTCCATTCCCGTGGGGACCGTAAAAAGCAACTAAGGAAATTTAATGGTCAAGAAATACACAGCTACGTCTTTCTTAAAGCACCACAGCCTAACTGTGGTTGCCAATCCTCTTGCCAGGCGTGACAACTACTGGGAAAACCCTCCACATGGCTCCTCCTTGTCTTTGCTATAGGCCTTCGCCAGCGAACAGTTAACGGCTAATATTATGATACAAATATACAAAATCCTCAAGATACAGAATTGAAAGGCCTTTTATTATTATGACCGCCTTATTCACTTTTTACATTGCTAACTTACCCTATGATACTAGGACATACAACAAATCTCATTTATTTCAATACTTAAATCATCCATCCGTTTGGAACAAGAAAATATACACATAATCTATATGGACAGATATTTGTGAATACTTTGGAGTTTATATTTTTCATGCGTTATTAAAAAAAAATTATAATAATCAATATTTACCTCTTTTTCATTGATATTATTCGCTGCTTGCTCCATTCCTTCTAGACATTGCATTATTATCGGGAAAACTTTTCTTTCGACGTCGACCGAACTCAACATAAAGTTCTTTATATTTTTTATTCGTTTCTCGTCTAAATCCTGTAAATAACAATATATAGAATTATAACATAATCGTGATGTTTCAATCCCATAGCATAGATGTATATTGTAATACTAAAATAGAGATTTTACTAAATCTTGACTTCCCATTTGACCTAGTTGGCGAGATGCCAAAATGCACGCCCTACGGCGGTGGTTGCACTTGGGAGCGGTAGTTTTCATCGAATTGTTCAAATGTTCACACGAGTCATGGAACTGGGGAAAGCTCCATGGTATCTAATTATAATACACAAATCTTTGTAGACATATTGTAGATCAGCGACCCGTCTCGACTTCCCATGGTTATCTTTTAAATAAAATACAGTCCATTTACGCTAATAATGTAGTTTTCTATAAGTATTCTTTTAATCAGTTAAGTATTTTTAGAGTTTATTCTACTTACTATATTTTATATATTACAAACAAAAAATCTCTTTATATATTAATTTAAACGTATTATATAAATCGTTAAACAAAACAATCCTTGACTATATAATAATATAATATACAATAATTTTTCCTCATCATAGCTATTTGTGTCTTTTGATTAGTAACAAAGAAGTTAGGAAATTACACTGCATAGTATTCAAAATATAAAGTTTTGATACTTTGAATTTGTCTTCAGTAAATTAGGGAATAAAATAACAATATTTTTATGTTTCTATTCACATGAAACAGTACGGAACTGAGACACACTTCTTATTTAAATACTCTTAAAACAGATAAAAATGAGTAAGTAATATTATTATAATAATTGATTTATATATTTTTTAATAATAATAAAATCCAGAATCCTGTCACAGAATAACAAAGACTTATTATCCCGCAGCCTCTGACTCATGAAGCGTTTAATCTCCTTTTTATATATATTTTCTAGTACATTGTATATAAGCTTGTGAAATAAGTGCATGCTATTTAGTTGTTTAAAAATGTGTGCAGAACGCATCGAACCTGTAACTGTTTGAAGACGTGAGGTAGCCGCTGCTCGTAGTGCTGCCGCTGCGCCTCGTTGGTCTTCCTCAGTTGGTCCGTGTACTCCTGCTTGGCGTCCTCGGACGCCTGGCTCCGGAGTTTCATGTTCGCTTTTTGTTTTTCTACCTCCGCTCGACTGTAAACATTAATCATGCACGAATTAAAAAAATATATATACACAAACTGACAATTTTAATGCTGTAGCGATTTAACTTATTGCAGAAAGTCTTATTTGTACTAGCAGTGACTCGCAGCTTTGGCTGCGTGAAATAGTATGGAACAGTACTCTATGATAATGCACGATCTACGAGTATCTATTTCAATTATATGCTAATAATAATTCGTTCAGTTCTTTGTATGTGACTGAATAAATAATATATCAATATTTGAAGTCTAGATAATAATAATAATCCTATAATAATAATCATAATCCTCCTCTGTATACAAGTCTGTCACCAAAATTACGAATTAACCTATTTCAATGCAATCATTTTGTTTAACTTGTGAAATCATATATATATATATATATATATATATATATATATATATATATATATATATATATATATATATATATATATATATATGTATATATGTACACACATAATTAAATACATATATAAAAATCCTACGTAAGTTTAAGCGCACCATATATGTGAATCGCAATACCAAACGTGATTTACAAATTCTCTATTCAAGGTAAATACCCCTTCGAATGTGTTAGCGTGAGGAAATAGAGTCACCTCAAATTGAGATCAGCGTCTGCTCTCTGGAAAGCTTCTAGCGCCCGTTCCGACTCTCTTGCGGCCCGTTCGTAAGTTCTCCTTGCTCGCTCCAAGGCGCCAATCGCAGCATTTAAAATTGCAGTTTGCCTGGCACCCTCATTTAAATGTTGCTGTAACATACAAATAAATCATTTGAAGCACAACTATAAAGAGACATTAACTGTGAGCTGTAACCGGACATGGGGGAGATAAGACGGTGGGCCATATCAACGAATGCATACACATTAAGATAAATAGCTGATGGGTAAATCGATAACTTAACCAGGTCAACAAAATAAATAAACATGAAAAATGAAACAAAAACTGCTTGGCCAACAGTTACAAAAATATGAGCGTTTGCTAGCCAAGTGTAGTTAATGTTTGCAGTTTAATTCGTGTTATGATAATATTTTGGTAGACTGTAGACTATAACAGTCTCCTTACACGTTCTATTTATTAACTACAGTAAAATACATTGTATTTTTCTATATTTCGACTACAATATCAATAAAGCTGCTGAAATTGATGGAATGTATAATTACTGTAAGATTTGATATTATACAAATTATAGCAATAAATTATACTTATTCCACAAATGCGTTGCTTTTACGAATAAAAATTTGTTTGAGGTTATATCTCTGGATACATATAAATTGTTTAAACAATTGAAAACAACATGGAAACAATTTATATATCAATTTACTAGCTTTTACCCGCAATTATGTGCGCATGACCAGAATATCTTACTGACCGGGATAAAATGTAGTCTATACCCTTTTCCATCCAAATAATAAGTATATACCAAATTTCATAGTGATTGATTAAGCCGTTAAGACGCTACAACGTAAGGATTAGATGATGCAATAGAATATTTATACAGATGATAAAATGTATGTGTTCTACCAGCGTAGGCCGGCCGGCATAATTTATCTCTACATGGTATAAAACAGTTGCTTTCCGCCGTCTTTACGCTTAAATCTTTTAAAGCCCGCAACGGATTTTAATGCAATTTTCATCGATAGAGTGATTCAAAAGGAATGTTTACACGTATAATTATTTGATAATGTTTTGTATATTAGGCAAATTATTAGATCGCTGCTCCGAGCCTAATGTTAACGTTCGGGACCCAAACTGCAAAAGGTTGTTGCCTGAAGATGCCTCGTTTAAAGGTGAAATACATGTCGCAAAATGTGCGTGAATAAACTGGCAGTCGGAAATTTATGGCTAATAAGAAAGGTTATGGAACTTCTAGTAGTAACAGTGGTGGTCAATCTTCAAATGCAGTCACACGTATAGGGGAAAGTGGGGGAATTGGGAACACTTAACTTCCAACGTCCAAAAATAATAGAAAAAAGTCTTAGATATAGCAACTTTTATTACAATATAAACTTTACTTATCTATCTACTTATCAGTTACAGAAAAACTCTCAAGAATCAACGTTTCATTAGAAATTTTAACGAAAACAAAAAACGTTGTCGTTTCTTTTTACCCAATACCCTATGGGGTAATTGAGATTATCCCGAAGGGTAAATGGGAACGGTATGGGGTAATTAGAAACGACACAATTAAATCTTTATAATAAACTATAGTTTTTTTGGTTGGCGCATATCACACACGTACCCTAGACTAGTCTCGCCAGCAGTACATTTTTCATGTGCCCAGAGTTTACAGATGACGCACATAATCTAATCCTCTGTCGGCGGAGATTCATATTTTTCGTTGCACATTATACAAAAAACTCTTCTTCGAACTTATTTTCTTGCAAAGCCTTCTTTAAATTTTTCCCTCCTTTACCCTTGACTCTTAGATTTTTTTTTATGGTTTTAATGTTCTTTTATAGTGTTTTATTCGGAACTTTCTTTTTTAGCTTTTCTCTCATTTTGTTTCTTCTGCTTTCCCTCAAGTTCAATTTTTATCGGTGAGCTGGATAAAATTTGAGAATGTCTCTTATTCTGTCGCACAGAAGTGGTTCTTGTTTTAGGTATGATAGGCACATTAATGATTTCGGTAAGAGGCACAGAAGTGGATGGAGAAGGAGTTTTACTTTGACTGACAGTGTTATCGGATAAATTTAAACTTTGCTCAGCTGTAGTTTTATGAGCATCGCATTCTTGAATCTGACTGATGTAGGATTGATTAGATGTCATATTCTCAAAGATGTCTTTAAATTTGTCAGGATTAATAGGATAAATTCCAGCGGCTCTAAATCCACTGACAGCCTTGCTTATGTTAGCTGTTTTATTGTACGCCTTTGTAAAAAGTTCTCCAACCTCGTATTGGGTTATTCGTTTCCCAGGATTGTTAACCATGTACAACTCACATTCCTTATTGTATGTTATCTTCAGTTTCTTTGTTAAAATTGTGTTTCAGCTTTTTTAAGAATTAGCTTCAGCAAATCGAAAAGCAATTCTACGTAATGAACTTGGTGTTATTCCATAAAAAGTCTTGCAGCAATCAAGTATATATTTTTCTAGTTGGTCTTCTTGTTCTCTATTAAATACAGCAGATCGACCTTTTTTTGGTGTCTTGACTTTGTTTTGTTTTAATTGTTTGAATAATGTTGATTTTGGTATTGAATATTTGGTAGCAGCTTGGCCTAATGTGAGCTTCTTACCTCTAACATCTTCAACTGCATGGCAATTGAAGATGTTAGAAGTACTTCAATTTTGTATTTCGATTCAGTCTTTCGTATATAGTTTCGAGGCATCTAAAACAATTTTTAAAGTTATAACATTTTTACATAATTAACCAGCAGTACTAGGGGTAAACTAAGAACGCGAGAGGTAATTGAAAACGTTCCCAATTACCCGCCTGATGCCATTCCCAATTGCCCAAATTAGTCAATATATATCAAAATGGCCGCCATCCTCAATAGTATTTTTGATAACCTTCAATCACGTAGAGTTTGGAAGCAGATAGTACATGCATGATAATAACAAAATATGGTGCCTTTGAATTCAAAAATATGATAGTTACACCTATTATAAGACACGACAAAAATTATAAAAGAAATGCAAAAAACATTGTTCGACTTACCATGACAGCGTACATGTGGCCTTTCACTCTTACTATTTGGTGTACACTGAGGGGCGCTGGATGCGTCCGTTGAATAAGCGCGGGATGGTGTAATGTGGGGGGAAGTATTATTTACCTAGCTGTTCCCAATTACCCACCGTTCTCAATTCCCCCACTCTCCCCTACTAATGGTAGCGAAATTATACAAAATAATTCTAATTAAATAACCAGTCATATGGACTTCCGCAAGATAGCGCCCAGTTTAATACAAATTTTAAATAAAAATTAAAGATGCATGAGATCAATCTAGATACCAGGGCTCTGAAGAATCTCTGTCCATCATTAGTGGTACACTGGCAGTTAATTTATTATAAATAAATACATACACAGATGATTATGAACAAACATAAACGTACTGATAAACATAAAACTACATAGATTCAGATATATATATATATATATATATATATTATAAATATAACAATATATATATATATATATATATATATATATATATATATATATATATATATATATATATTCTTTATTGCACTTGTAAGTTACATATAAAATAATGTATTTATAAATGTTGTGAGCAAGGGTGGACTTATCTCTGACAGAGATCTCTTCAGTCAACCCAGTACAGTAAGAAAGCATTTCGTTAGCGGGCACCTGAAGTATCTAATAAAATTAATAAATTAATAAAATTAATAATTAATAAAAGCGGAATATTATAAATTATACTCCAAGCTGATAACTTCATTCATAACTACATTTATGTATACCTACGGGACAAAACCCTATCAAATACAATAATAAATATTAATAGAATTATTAGAGAAAAGATCTGTATACCTTTCGTTCCTCTCTTAATTCTTTGGCGAGTAGATGTAACTCTCTAACAACGTTTGACTGTAAATTTTCAGCGACAACCTCCCGTTGTCCCGCGAAGTCGCCTAATTCCTGGAGCAACTGTCTGAACGCTTTGCACGGTGTGTATCTGAAACAAAAATCAACAGAATTTTTAAACAATTACTATTTTGTTATTATATAATAAATTAAATAAACTTGAAAATTTTAAATTGTTTAGGTATTTTACATTAATATTGTGGTTACTTATTTAGACATTTTGTATTACGTTTTCTAAAGAATATTACATTTACTTACTGGTATTCATCCTCCTCTTTTCTTTTTGGTTGATAATTTTTAACAAGCCTCCTGTAATAAAAAAAATAGATACAATTAATAATAATATTAACAAGTATATACGAGGTCTGTCCGGAAAGTTCGTATAAAAGTGTTCTGGAATGCGAGAAAGAGGAGTGGGGAGGCCAGGTAGCGCAGGACCCCTTCCTTATGTCCCTAACAATGCTTCAGTTCTGGTCTGAACTGGCTTGTCACGCCATCTGTGAAGTTACCTCTTAACGAAACCCCGTCGGCATGGAGCCCGCTTCCGTTGAAGAGCAGCGCGTCGTAATCAAGTTTCTCTCGAAACTCGGCAAGAATGGCCGTGAAATTTTTGCCGATCTCAGAACAGTTTATGGGGATGATGCTGTGAAGGAACCAACCGTCCACAAGTGGCTAAAAAGATTCAGAGAGGGCCGAGAAAGCGTTCAAGATGACCCACGTTCAGGACGTCCTTCCACTTCACATTCCGACGAAAACGTGGAAAGAATTCGAACTTGTGTTAATGGGGACCGTCGTTTAACGGTCAAACAGGTGGCTGAAGAGCTTAATTTGGGCAAAACCGTGGTCCACGAAATTCTAAGAAACGAACTTCAAATGAAAAAAATTTGCGCCAAGATCGTTCCGTGAGTTTTTGAGTAAAAATTCCATTACGGTGACCGAACACCCCCCTATTCGCCGGATTTGGCCCCGTGTGACTTCTTCTTGTTCCCAAAAACCAAATTGGTACTTCGGGGGCGGCATTTGGGGGACATAAATGAGATAAAAAAAGCTACGACGGGGCAGCTGAGAAACCTACAACCAGAGGACTTTATATATATATATATATATATATATATATATATATATATATATATATATATATATATATATATATATATATATATATATATATATATATATATATAAAGATCCGATCTAGACGTGTAGATATCTGTTTTATTTAATTACTAGTTATTATAAATCTAATGTTTCCATTAAAAATGCTACAGTATGTACTGATTGGAATTTTCTCTTAAAATCAAAACAATAGGTATTGTGCTATTTTACAGCCAGAAACGACTCATTATATTTATTGACATTATTGTTACACTGTAACCATGAAACATTCCATTGAGTCACAGGATTACTGCAACAATGACGTATATTGAGTGACTTGATAAGTGGTTTGTGGAGTTTGTGGATAAATGCAATAGTCATGCGGTATGTGTGTCAATAGGTCAAAACAAAGCTTACATCCTATGTTACACCTTAAAAGTTAGATAACGAAATGCAGTTATCAAATTATCATATATAACTCTTATTAAGCAGGTATTTATTTAAATTTATTACGTAGAAATACCTCATTAACGATTCAATATAAAATAGTAAAAGTGATTCAATAGAAGAACCGGTGTTGCTGGTTTATATTTACACATTTCTTTGAGTCAACTTTCTTATCTATTTAATAAAATTATCTACTAGATAAATATTTTGAACAGGACATTTGATTTTTAATTGCATGACGTAACATTTAAAGCATTATAAATATATAATAAGAATGTTTTTTAAAAGTTTTTCTATCTATATTTATATAATATACTATATATATAATATTGTATTCATAATTGATAAACTTTCGAAAGTTTTTATAATATTTGTATTTAATAACTTATTAAAGAAGAAATTCTTAGCATTCCATATAAACAAATATTAAAAAAAAACATTTCATGTATAAGAAAAAAGTTTTATTTTACCTGAGCTTTCCTGCATATTCTAATTCTATCGCGCACCTCTCCTTAACGAAATTTCCATATTTATCCAGAAATTCAATTCCTTTGTGTGTATGGGCGGCTAAGTTTTCATATTGATCCTGCGAACAAACAATATATTAATTAATTAACGCTGTATTTGCGAAAGACAATTAGAGAAATATCATAGATTCTTATTTTACATTTAATAAAATGAACCAATGTATGACAAGATTCTAAGATTCGTGTTCTAAATCCAAAGATTTAAAATATTTGGATTTAGAACACGAAGTTTACAATTTTTGCTTCGTAAAGAGACTTCGACATCACAAAATTAGTATGGAGCGAAAAAAGATTAAACCTTATTGATCGCATAATAAATATTAATATCGCTCTAGAATATACAATAAAACGCGTACAATATATTTAAATAATGTTTTCCAAGATGTATTTATATATATATATATTTATATATATATAGTGTTGTAATCATAATTAAACCAAGACGAAGTTCATGTGGTGATAATACTTACGAGGCCATCTCAGCGGGAACTAACACGTTACGCCCGATAAATCGGTACCATTAAATTAACACAATTAGCTGATTCAATGTTTCATTACTAATTGTACAATGATTATGTTATCATTATATACATATGCACAGTGCATAAAATCCACATTTGTAATAACAAAAGACTCTGAAACCATTGCCAAATTACTGTAATTGTAGCGGATTACAGATCATGTATATGTAATTTACAATAATATACCTATAATAAATCTACATATTTTTTTATACGAAGAAAGGACTTCCCTAAAATAAAAAGAATTGCGTCCTACAAAAAAACCGACTTCAATTGTGACAAAACCCAATAATTAAAAAAAAAAAAAAAAAAAACTAAATTTTGATCGAAAACTAGACTACTTAACTGATTTTAATAAAATTTCTATGGAAGCGATCTATATATCCTTTCAAATAAAAAAAAATCTAAATCAGTTTACAACTGACGGAGTTATGAGGTAACAACTTCGTTAACGATAAAAAAAAATATAATCTAATTGAAAACAACCTTCTATAGAGCTAAAAATTTCATCGTAAACGCAGATATTTGAAAGCCTTTCTATGATTCATTATTATGATTATTCATGACATAGTGTTTACATTTTTTGCATGTATAACACCAGCCAAAGAAAATATCATTATACGCACAACGTCAGATTCCCAGAATACCGGAAAAATATATATGCAAACTGTAGAGAGGAAATTATAATATTTTGTAGTATACCTATTTTTAATGTTGCATTAATTTATATCAGTATATTGTATGAAAAATGGCTTATAGGATTGGAGATGTACAACTTTGAATATTCTTTTCGAATTATTAGAAATATTTTTTATTATATCGAATCGGCTTATTTGGACATATTTCAAATTCGTAATCGTACTAAAAAATTTATTGCCATGTAAACTTTTAACAATCTATTTAACAAAATAAATATAAACAAATATAAGTAAAAGTTTATATAAAAATATCTAAAGATCAAATCGTATATTTTCAAATATAGTTTTTTTTTTTAATATTTAAGTTTTAAGATTAGGGAATAGTTTTTGATTGTTGCGCACTACTAGATTATTTTTAATTTCAAATTTAATAAAAAAACCATTCAATATAATTGAATTTATTATTTTCCGCTTTATTGTGAAACAAAAACTTAAATACTAATATTACGAATTAAGTTTATAACAAAAAACTTTCATTATTATTGCTGTTATGTGTGCCTACTTCAGAAACCTATGTTTAAAGCAATACAGGAAAAATGTGGTTTTACTATATTTTATCCTCCCGTGGCAATAGACTGTTTTGTATCATATTATCAAAGTAATAACATCTACTTTTAAAGACCTTAATAAGTGTAACTTACACTGTGTAAGTAACTATTTAATACCATGATCATTATTTGAAAAATGTAGGACAAACAAATTCCTTAGGCATCAATAAATTTTTATTAATACTCATATTAAAACTATAAAAAGTGAGTCAATGTCCTCTGAAACTAACTTTGAAATGACTTCATAATAGTCGTAAAAATCTATTAAAAGGTTATCCAAATATTTGTTTAAATTACTGTAACCGAACAACTATTAAATTAGTAACAGCTCAAAATGCTAATATTAATAACATATTTCTAACTAAATGGATATGTATAAGCAATTACTTTACTTCAAAATAAATTGAACTTCATTGTTTTAAGAAAACGGATCAATAAAAGTAAATAAAAGCAGAGAGAACAAATAATGACGTATTATAATTTTTTCGTGTCCAATGGTGCATGGAATTAGGCTTCGGTTTCCCACTCCCACAGTGAGCGTTCAGGCGGGAATACAGAGATTGCGTGCCGAGATGCGCACGCGACGCTCCCATCAGCCGCCCTTGACTCTCACAGACTGCAGTGTTTACAGTACAACGACACGTGAACGGCTGCGCTTTTAGGTGATATTTTTTGTACGTAAAAATTTTAATATTACGTTTAATTGACTGAACCTATAATTCTGAAAGAACTAAAAATGTCAAAACGAGTTCTGCACATTGGATTTTTTATTTACACGTATTTTGAAAATTAAATTTGCTTGAATGCGTTTGTTAACAAACGAAAATTTTCATTGGATGTCTTTGTTCAATATTCAATTAATAAACTTTATTATCATCATCTTACATTTCCATATAATTTGAGAACAGTGTAATATTTTTGTCTTCCATTCATCTTCATTTGCAGTCATTGCAATTTTCTTTTAAAATAGGTATTCGCTCAATCTCTTTTTAGATTTTTCTCTTACAAACGACATTATTCTCTTCTTTACATACCATATGGTTTTAATATTTAATATAAGTATATTTACCTATCACAATAGTAACGTATATAAAATATATGTATGTATAAATATTCTACTAATATTATATATAGAGTATCTAACTCTTTGTTGTTTCCTCCAAAAGATTACAAAATAAATGTAAAAGTAGCTGTTTAAATGTTTATTCAAAGTACTTTATATATCAACAAATATGTTCAATGAGAGACAAAATTAATAATAACTTCAGTTTTAATAGGTCAAATAGTGTGCGGAAGACCGTGGTAGGGAACGCGATGATAATGTGTGACAACTAATAGCTTTAATTGAACGCGTGGACCAACATCTGCACCAAGTCATTGTACTGATGCTGAATGAAACTCGAAAATTAATATTTTTAGAAATGACACTGTCAATAAAGATTGTGCCGGTTATTAAACCAAACATGTAGATAGTAAAGATAACAAATCGTTAACAGCTATCGTCGCTTTTGTATAACCTAATAAACATTAAAAATAACGAGCAACGTTAGTTTATCGCACTATCATAATGTTTCGGTTCGAATACTAAGAAAGTCAACATAGACACGTGATTCAATTATTTTATTCGACCATTTGCATTTTCTGAATTTTCTTTGTTCAAAAATCAATTAAAATCAATTGCGATCAATACTAATCCTACTATTTATTAAAAGCGAAAGTGAATTTATTTGTCACCTCTTAACTCCTTAACTCAACTGTCATGAAATTTGAGAAGGAAATGAGTGATGAGAGATGATTGACAATAACAGATAAATGGAAAACCATGACGCAACAAGCGTTTAATTTACAACACAATTAAAGTTGTTTTTCGTTATTATTTTTTTTACTTTTATATTACAAATTATTAAACTGTTGTATCTTGTAGTGTTTGTGTAATAAAAGGCAACATTTTGAATGTTACGTATAACATACGCAACATAAACAAGATTTCACTTTCACAGGTTTGGCAAACAAATCGGCAATTATTTTATCAGTTCGTTTGAAGCACTATTATATGTATAGTATTTTACAAAGCGTATTAAACAATTTAAAGACTCTATAACTTGAGAAAATACATAAAATTTGAAATATTACCATGTATTTTAAATGGTAATTTTCACGACAATCATAATCTACCGTGTAACAGTAGAAACTTTTGTCGATGCTGTATCTAAAACGCAATTATTTCGGTTACGTACATACATAACAATTAGTTTACATTAGTGATGAGTGAATAATAACCAAACGGAAGAATAATAAAAGAGTAGACACGTCTGTTGGCATGATAAGAGATTATGGTATAAAATATCAATGAAAACAAACATAAAATGTTGCCAAAGTGAAAAAGAAAGTTAATTATAAAAAGAAATTTCATATTTATCTATTGAGCTTTAGTTATGATGTTTGAAATACTTTTAATCCCAAAATCTCACGATTGTATACAAGCTTAAACTTCTACATTATCAAATCACGTTTGGATTTTTTATCATTTAAGATACTTTTCTTTATACTACAAAAGCGGCAAACAAGCCGATCTAATAGTAAATGGTCACTGTATCCTATGCAAACCTATAACACTAGGGGTGTCACGAGCGAATATTGCTCATTCCACGGCCTGAGCGTTCGCGGAAGAAAAATCCTCTGAAACCACACTGTATGCGACCTAGAATCTATCCAGCGCATGTGAGCATAATTTTGAACAATTCTTAAGAACATAATCCATTGTACAAGTCGTAGAACATACAAAGGGAAACAAAGTCTCGTGGTAAGCGTTCGATACCGCCTGTAAGCTTGGGATCGTCAACAATTCTCATAGTAGTCAATTTTTTTTTCGATATATATAAAGTACGCTATTCTATGTACGTACTTATTGTAGCCAAATTCTCGCCACAGTTCCATTACCCAACAATGAAGGGCATATGCAATAAGTATATGAAAAATATAGAATAATTAAATGACAGTAGAATTTATGGCATAATTCGATAAAAGGTTAAAGGTAACATTCCATTTCAATATATACAATATATTGCGATTTTTGCCTGAGGCGACATTTGAATGACGATCACATATAATTGATAATTTTGACAATCATGCCATTCATAATGTTTACTGCAAAGTACACTTACGCACTTTATACACATTACACACACACATACACAGATAAACAAAAAAATTTTAGATAAATAGTTACTTGCAATGTACAACATAATTATATTGGATACATAGATACTTAATATCGCGTAACATACATAAAAAAATACATGGGAATTGAGAACCTCTTACTTTTTGAAGGCACATAAAAATAACTTCACGTGACAGCCAAGTCGTGAATATTACTTGCCTTCTCTATCATATCATAATAGCACCAATCATGTTCTTAATATCTAAAAGAAGTACGTACAATACTAGCTAACCGCTCATTATGTTTTAACGACATAACATTACCAATGTACCGTTGCATTTGGAAGACTCATCGATAACGCTTGTAAACCTGTAATAAACACATGTCAAATAAAAAGTGAAAGGCTTTCTTAACTATAATGACGAGAATTTGCCAGATAAATTTCCTGACAGTTTTTTATAGTATTTTTTATTATAATAGTCATATATCATTGACCAAATGCCGTATAATGTCTTATAGCTTTTTTTCATTTACAGGTACAGTTATGAATGTTGTACATAGAAAAGCATAAAGCTACAATGGCTCATACAATATTGTAGCGGGTCGGTTCGTTAACCTGACTGCTGGATAGAAACACTGTGCGACATATGAGAGCGCGCAGACGTCGCCAGAGCAACTTACCACAAGTTGGCTGGCGCACAGGACGTGGGAGAACAGGCTTGGTGACAAGGCCATATCTTTAAACGATAAGAGAGTATGTACTGGCAGACGCAATTACTTTAAAGATTATTAAAACCGGAGCTATTTCTACAGCCATTAGGGTTGAGTATGAAAAACAAGTGACTATGCGAACAGTTGAAGCCTCAGCAGAGCATTTAACACAACATTTAAGCACTTAAAATGATAATACAATTGATTTTCAACTAATATTTCAATCAACAATATTAATTTAGATTTTAATAGACGATTGTAAAAATCGCGCCTTCCTCATACTAGTATGTATAATCTAAGGTTGTAATATTTTCCTGTACATCACCGTAGTGATGTCTATTCAAATAAATAAACATTTATATTCTTATACATTTTTGAGGTCTCCAGATAATGGGCTCAACAAATATTTATCTTGATTACAAGAAATAAAACTACTTTAAATTTGGGACGGAAGAAGACGTTTATACTTTTTTGAAAATATTCAGATAAGATGACGGCAATTTTAATGATAATGAATGCATACTATTGAATATTAATGTGGAATGACTGTGAGAACCGTGTGGTATCTATTTAAATTAAATCTTATATTAAATTGAATAAACACTGCAATATGTAAGCTTCGTTTAATGATTAGATGTAAAAAGAATGGCAAACATATGATACATCAGAATTCGGATACTGAAATACAATACATATTGCAATTTGTATTTATAATAACATGAAACCAATATTATGACTGTATCAGAAATAAATAATTACAAGACAAATACTCATAATACAAACTCGTAAACATGACTAGTTTTTATATTATAAAACAAGAGATTTCCACGATAACTTCATTTAATAATTATATCACGTATGTAAGTAACTCGTAGCCTTGAGATATGTGGCATAAATTAACGGAAACGTTTGAAAAATTTTCAACTGTGTCAGTTTGTCACGTCGTAGTCGGTTAACGACGGTTGATGGGCGGTGCCGAGTGAGCGATGGAATGCGCACACGCAATGTTCGGACATCAGTCCACCATCTGTATGCAAAACACGACGCAAGTGGTTACCAAACCAACATATGTACGGCTCCCGATACCTTGGCTAATTATTATATTAATAGATATTCAACATATTCATATCGTTTATGTAAATATGTGTCATTTTTGGTAAGACATCATAATATCAACATATTGTATAACATGGTATAATAAAACGAGAATTGCATTTCTATACGCACTAAACATGTTTTCTTATTTTCTTGTGAACTTTATTGGTTTCACTTATATAATGCCTTAATACTATTTAAGGTTAATTTTGCAAATATGGGAGTAGGTATAGTATTTTCTTGCTGCATGCTGCCTTACTTTATCAAAACATTTAATATTAATAAAGTATTATTTATAACCTCTACTTATCGGGGGGAAAGGAATTGTTAGTAATGGGGTCTAACTGACCCATTGCCAGCAAAACATCCTATCAGGTCGACCTCCACGTGGTTCCCTCTGGAAACCATCGTAGTTTATTCTAGTGGAATTCATCAGGGTGGACTAACTAACCTGCTTTCATCGTCACCTATCATCCCTCATTGGTGACCCAGTGAATACCGTTAGCGCTGGCGGGGTTACCATTCCATCATCACCCATTAAAAAAAAACTCTACTTATATATTTCCTTTTAATCAAATAACCATTTGGTTGCTGCTCTGGAAAGCTTTTTTTCTCTTACCCTTATTTCTGAGTATCACATACGTGCTTAATATAGATTTCAATTTTAGGCCATCCTACTTTCTAGTAATTGAGTAAAATATTATGTTATCTATGTCGTAGTCATTAGAAAATAGAACAGCATGCCACATTGATATGACGAATTCGGCATTCACGACAGGTATGTCGTTGAACTTCGCCGGAATGGCAGTGTTGATGCATAATTGTGGCGTGCCGTCGGGTCGGTCGTCGCCGTCGTCAATACTCGGTAATTGCTACATGTCACACGCGATAATCAAACCAAACATTAGTTTAATCGCTGTATGGATACCACACTTACAATCCATACTTTTCGGATTGAACTTTGTTTAGTTAGTGTTGCCATTTGACCCGCTGAGAGCTGTCAGGTTGTGTAGATCTAAAAACGGTACATGTAATATGCTCTGTCATCTGTATCTTATTGGTAGTCTAAACTGTTTTTGTATACAACAAAACAATATATTTGTCCTAGAAACGATCGTAACATATATGGTATATTATTTGTCTATAAAATATGTATTAAATTACCTTCAACTTCCTAAAGTACATGCCATTTGAACAACTTGACAAGTATGTATTTTTTCAAAGTTCAAACATGAGGCATGAAAATTGTTGATGATCTCACAAGCGGGTTTCACAAATTTAATGGGATGACTTTGTTTTTCCGCCTGTTAGTATAACGTATAAGGTTATGTTACGCATTTTAAAGAATTATTTTGGCATTATTTTAACGCATTCCATTTCTACGATTCCATTCCCGCTACCAAGAAAGAATACACAATCACACCAATGTAGTAAACACTATGCCGACATCCTTACTAACCGAAATGCTCCAAATAAAAAAAAAACAACGTTTTTCAAAAAAAGTACAACTTAAAAAGATTCTTCAAAAAGTCAGGTATGCACACGTGACCTCATCCGTGTATTGCACGCTAAGGTAACTAGCCAACCAGTAACAAAAGCATAAAACCCACCAAAATTGTTTAAAATGATGTTGTACTTTTAATGAATTTACGTATATTACTTACAGTTATAGAATATTAGTTTTAACAATTAGTATATTAGACTAAAATAATAACCTATCTATCAAAATAATATAAAAGTTAACTGCAAAGATTGCTCGGCGATAAAAGGCCGCCTTTTCACTTCTCATTAAAATTAACTGTATTTACTATTTTATAAATAGTATAATAAAGTGTAAAAATAAAAAAAAATATTACCTCAACAAAGTACAAGTCAAGCACAGGCGGCGGCTTGTAAATATATTACAAGCAGGTATCGTAAATGACCTTGCATTCTAGGTATCACAACGTCTCACATGAATGCCAATGTCAACTGCACGCCACATCACAAAATGTCTCAGGTAACATTGTTTTATTAGGTTTCACAGGCTTTGATTGCAATACTTAGTTTCAAGTAAAATAACAATCTTTTTACTATTAACGCCTTATGCCATAGGCAGATATTAAATAGGTGATTATTACTGAATTACTTGAAATTAGGCACCTGAATAGCTATACTTTAAAATTTTATTTTGACCTGAGGATAAAAGTATCCTCAAGTCCATCATATCGGTTTGGTCAAACCTTCAAAACAAGGCATTGACTAACCCAATGGATACCTTAGTTGAATCGGGGGAAGGTATTGTTAGTAGTATAGACTAACAATCCCATTGTTAGCAATATATCTTGACAAGTCGAACTTCACGTGTTTCCCCTTGGAAACCATCGTGTTGAATCCCAGGTGTATACATCACAACGAGTTAATTGACCTGCCTTTACACACTCACTTGTCATCCGGCATTGGTGCCCCGCAAGTGTATACCATTAGCGCAGGCGGGGTTGCTATTTCATTATCATCCTTTAAAAAAAAAACATTCATTGAACCCTAAGAAAGAGGATAGGCTATTTGTTTAAAACAATCACAATGTGAATAAAATAGAGGGAACAGTATAGAGTGCTTGTAATTCATAAACTTCAAAGAAGAATTCGAGCACAGTTAATCAATCTTGAGTACAATTTACAACTTGAGAATCTAATGTTAAACATTTGAATGATAGTCAGTTACAATACTTTAAACCAGAGAAATAAGTTATCTTTTGTGACCTTTCACACGAGCTCACGGTCGCACAGTTCATTCGATCGTTTCCACCGTCTCGGTCTCTCGATACATCGACATTGATTGTAGTCATACCGGAACAGTCGGCGACGAAAGCAATCACTCTAATTTACTCTTGGATGAGTCACGGCAGAGGAACGCCCCGGCCTTTAGCTGATTAGCACTCATTACTCATCGTTACAAAGTTAATCAGAAAACAATACCCACCAACTGCTGGTCGACTTGATAATATTACGCGATTCTGATACGATCAATAACAAGTATTGCGTCGTACCGCATACGTCTTTCTACGAAGCCACGATTACAAAACTGTTTTATGCGTTTTATTTACATTCAATTATAAGATACAGGTAGGTATAGACAAAATAAACAGAATTGTTTCTTACTTCAATACATGTTAAGTTTTTTAAAGTTTTTTTTTTTTTTTTAATGGAGGTTCTCAATTCGGTTGTATTTTTTTGTTATTTTTGTTACCTCATATCTCCGTCAGGTGGAAATCGTAACTCAGTCAGGTGGAAATCGAATTAGAAAATTATTTTTTAACTTAAAGGATACTTGCAAATTTATCCCATAGAAATTTAATCAAAATTGATTCAGTAGTTTAGTTTTAAAACAAAATAACTGGTTCTGTCACAACTGAAGTCGGTTTTTTATTTTGTGGAACACTATTATAAAATTATTTTGTTTTAAGAAGTAAACTCATTTAAATCTGTATCGATAAAATATAGCAGAAAGGAAAATTTTATAATTGTATTTAACTAGCTGCTTCGTGATTCGTTTGCTGATAGCCTGCATCTCCTTTCTATCGAAAAATCCTTTCTAAATGCACGTTTACATTATAACAAGGGAAATGCAAAATAGACACAGCAAATTGGACTATACATTGATCTATCAATCCAGCAATAAGCATGCTCAAACTAAAAGGGAAAAATTGGGTAACATTATTATTTGAACAAGTTTAAAAAAAATTCAATTATTCATAGCCGTGAACTCATCAAAAACCACTGAAACTTGTAGTACCAAAACACTACAAGCACATTGATTTGTTCTTTCAAATAGAAGATATGTTGCACTATCCAACATCACAACCACATCATATTAGTTATTTTGAACAAATAGATATGGTAAAGGACAACCAAACCTAAAATCTCTTTTCCTTTTTATCTTATATAACTTTAAGATTTCCAAAATTTATACTAAATATATAAATAATATACTAAAATAAATAAATTATAACATAACCTTGACACTTATTTATATGCTAGCGAATGGGAATTCTATAGGCAAAGGCTCGAGGAAAATGATAATCTATATTAAATACATAAAAATTTACAATAATTTTAGACAAATAACTCGTTATATATCTTAAATAAACGTCTTTCGTTTGTCTTTTCGTTCAATGTCATAAAAAAGCATAAAAATCAATAATATGCTACGACTTCCTTTCAGGACGGCAGACGTTTGATTTCGATTCTATATCGAGTTGTGCTTGCCACGAGACCGAATTCTATATCGGGTCGGGGTGAGTCACGTGCGATGACGTCATGGGGTGCCGGGCGCCGGGGCGCGTACCCTTGCGCGTCACCCGATGACTCAACGTCTCGCCGCCCACAAGACAGGATAAAATAAATAATTCCACAATGCACTTGTATAAATTAAACGAAATCAACAACTATTATATAACTGCAATAGGTACCTTGCAGTCACTAATAGGGAGTCGAACATATGATATGAACAGGTGGTGTTACTACATTATATACTTTCATTTAATTGCACATTAATACATAAATACATAATTAATTACAAACAAGTAAGTAAATATGCTCATAATTGCAATTCTAATTCAGATAGCCAGTGCTACATAATGGCAAAACCTCCATTATTAGATGTAAATGTCTCGCACATAGAAGAAGAAAAATAATCATAATAAATTCATAAAAAAAAAAATAGCAATTGTAACTAAACATATATTTTTTATTTGCAGTAACATGTAAAATAATCGAATCGTCAGCATCACCGCCGTATAATCAATTCTGTATTAGGTAATTTAATTAGTTGTGAATTAATCGATTATTTACAATGTCAATTCGCTACTATACAGCACTCAATTAATTCACTTTCTTTTTAGTAGACATACTTTCGACATATCAATTCATGGCACGCCTCATAATACGTAACATTCCGCTTTCGTCCTAACTTACAAATTAATGTGATTAGGCATCGTACTACCTACTATCATCGTACTAATTCAAGTATCTATCTATATATATATATATATATATATATATATATATATATACTTGAATTGACTGAAACATTCCCTAATTTTCATTTGATATTTATATAGCATAAATTACACTTTTCATTTGGTTTCCTAAAACG